TGGTGGGGAGACCTCAGAGTTCTCAGGAACTGACAACCATGGCTCACAAAGCTAGTTACAAGTACTAGCGCTTCTGAAATAACATGGAGAACATTGTTGACACAAGTCCTCCAGGGTGGATTTTCTCCTTTTTAAAATTTTACTATGGAAATTTTAGCTGTTGCACAGATATAGGAAGAATGATGTCCTCACTACCCCGCCTTAACAATTGTCTGTCGACATTTGAGGGATGTCTAATGATAAATTGTTGTGGGATTTAATTCCTGAACTGGGGTTGAGCTTGTGAAGTGCCCAAGCCTCTGCACCCAGGTCACGCTCTGGCATGGTGTGCACACAGGTGTGCAAGTCCCTGATATCTGCCTGTGTTTTGTGTCCCTGTTCCAGGTGGAGGTGGAGGCAGTGTCCCTGGGATCGAGAGGATGGGCCCTGGCATTGACCGCATTGGGGGTGCCGGCATGGAGCGCATGGGCGCAGGCCTGGGCCATGGCATGGATCGTGTGGGCTCCGAGATTGAGCGCATGGGCCTGGTCATGGACCGCATGGGCTCAGTTGAGCGCATGGGCTCCGGCATCGAGCGCATGGGCCCACTGGGCCTCGACCACATGGCCTCCAGCATCGAGCGAATGGGCCAGACCATGGAGCGCATCGGCTCTGGCGTGGAGCGCATGGGTGCCGGCATGGGCTTTGGCCTTGAGCGCATGGCCGCGCCCATCGACCGCGTAGGCCAGACCATTGAGCGTATGGGCTCTGGTGTGGAGCGAATGGGCCCTGCCATCGAGCGCATGGGCCTGAGCATGGAGCGCATGGTGCCCGCAGGCATGGGGGCTGGCCTGGAGCGCATGGGCCCCGTGATGGATCGCATGGCCACCGGCCTGGAGCGCATGGGCGCCAACAACCTGGAGCGCATGGGCCTGGAGCGAATGGGCGCCAACAGTCTCGAGCGCATGGGCCTGGAGCGCATGGGCGCCAACAGCCTGGAGCGCATGGGTCCTGCCATGGGTCCAGCCCTAGGCGCCGGCATTGAGCGCATGGGCCTGGCCATGGGTGGCGGTGGCGGTGCCAGCTTTGACCGCGCCATCGAGATGGAGCGTGGCAACTTTGGAGGAAGCTTCGCAGGTTCCTTTGGCGGAGCTGGAGGCCATGCTCCTGGGGTGGCCAGGAAGGCCTGCCAGATATTTGTGAGAAATGTAAGTGGTTCTTCAGCAACTTGGTGGTGGTGGGTGGTGGTAGGCACAAAGGGAGGAGGGGGCAGGTTGGCGTCAGAGTTGGTGCCCTCAGCAGGGAGGCAGAGGAGCAGCACTTAAGGCCACGTTGCTACTGTCCCCAAAGTCTGGTGCTGGTAGGATAAGAAGGGAATGGGAGAGCATAACGAACTCTGTGCAGCAGGAGCCCCAGGTTTTTGTACTGCTAGGCGGAAACCAACAGTGAGCTCAGGAACCCAGCTTCTTGATTCCCTTGGCTTGAAGAACCACTACCCCTGGGCATGACAGAGACAAAGGGCTATATCTGCCTTATCTTTATACCAAGTTGACCACCTTCAGTTACTGTTGAATGGTCTGTGGGCTGCTTACCATAGGCTCTGGTCGTTTGCATGATTCTCCCTTAGACAGTTAATGCCACAAAGGGAGTGCGCTTGGTGTGCCATTTTCGAACCTCATTCCAGACCGGTGTGTTTTGTTCTCTGCTGGTATCTCAGTTTGAAGGGTACCCTATTTCTCAGTGTTACAAGAAGTCCTGAAAGTTCCTCTCAGAGAGACCCTGGTGTTTATGCATTAGGACATTAGGATTTGGCTGTATCACTCATCAGTTTCTCCTTTTCCATTTAGCTCCCATTTGATTTTACATGGAAGATGCTAAAAGACAAATTCAACGAATGTGGTAAGTGTTTGGGAAAGGCTTTCTAGGTGCTTCCATGTGTTGTGGCTTCAGAAGTCTTAGCTTGTTAGTGATGCATTTGAGGGGTGCAATGAAGCTCCCATCCTGGTCTTCACAGCCACTTGCCATGACTCGAGGACCAATGGGACTTGCCATTTTTCTGCCTGTGCAAGTATTCAAGCCAGTTGTTGAGTTTCCTCTTATGTGTCAGACACTTCTCACCTGTGTTCTCATTTCAACCCCATCCTTCTCCTTTTACGGTTTTTGAAAGGAGGTGATGTCCCCATTTTGCAGATGAGTCAGGCAAAGTCACGTTGCCAAGGTCACATGGCTTCTACGTGACAAAGCTGAATAAAAACATCTGCGATGAGGTTGCTTTCTACCACCGCACTGTTGGTTCATGCCTCAGAGAGCACTTCCTCGGAAGTTCCCAGGGGTGAGCTTCTGTGTGAATGAGGCTGAGCGGCTCTGGTTGTGGTGGTTTCCTGGCACACCAGGCCACCTTTCTGAAAGGCTCATTGTGTGGCTGAAAGGAAGTGAAGTTGTCCCGGGTGAATGCCTGCTCCTCACTCCCACCACCTCTGTTCTTTTAACCATGTCAAGTGGGAGCCCGGGACCTAAGCCAGAAGTCTGGGTGGCTTGCTGGGTCAAGGCCTCCTCACTGTTTCTCATTTCCTGTTTCACTGGTAGTTCAGATTGCACCACTTTGCTGCTTCTCCTGGTTCTTCTCTTGGGGCAGCTGTTGAGCCATAGTGTGCCTTCTTGCCCTCGCCCCACTCCTTAGTTTCCACAGTGTAGTAGGTATTCTGAAAAGTCAAGTTGGATCAGGCTGCTCCCCTGCCTCAGGTGCCTGGAGGTGCCCATCTGCCAACGAGAGAAACTCACTAGCCCCTTTGTAACTTAGTCCCTCCTCTTTCATCTCCCTCCTGTCCCTGAACCCTGAGTTGCAAGTGTCATTCTCCAGAAGTGCTTTATTTCATGCTATTATAGTAAGAGTTTACCTTCTGGTGGACTTTAGTATTTCAGAACTGTCCCATGAGAAGCCCTCTAGATGTTGCCCTTCCCTTGGGCTGAGTTAATGGCTTTAGAAACGAGGGCCCCTTAGCATAGGCTAAACGGTCATGTCCTTAGCTCTTCCCCTATAGACTTGTTTCATGGTGGTGCTTGACACATACCTGGATGCTTAACCAGTACTTGAATGAATATGTGAAACCCACTTGTGAGATAGGACGCAGCCTGTGTGTGGACAGTACAGAAGTGTCCATTATATCACGATGGCCTCGTAAATGCTGTGGTGTGGGGTCTGGAAGATGAAGCCTCTGTAAAACTCACCTATAAGGTTGGCTTCACACAGTCCCCTTTATAACTTTCTTGAGTGTATGAGTATGCATTTGAAGCTGCCAGGAAGGCTTATCATGGGTCGATTGTTGTCCTCTTGGCAGAAGAATGGCAACATGGCTGAAGGCCATAGTCGCTGGATTCCAGCTATTGTGTTCTGAGCATTCGTGTGCCAGGGCCGCTCTCCCTTTTGACTCTGTCCACCGAAATCCAACAGGTGATCTGGACTGAGTGGAGCCCAGACTGAGGCTGAGCTCTGGGTTTGCCTGATGAGTTGTGGTCTCTTCTTCCCTCCCTGTGCCCAGGCCACGTGCTGTATGCCGACATCAAGATGGAGAACGGGAAGTCCAAGGGGTGCGGTGTGGTTAAGTTTGAGTCGCCAGAGGTGGCTGAGAGAGCCTGCCGGATGATGAATGGGATGAAGCTGAGTGGCCGAGAGATTGATGTTCGAATCGATAGAAATGCTTAAGCAGTTGCCTTTTTTAAACATCGATACCAGACCTCTGAATTTGTATTTTTTCTTGTTAACCATTTTAATTTGTTGGCTGGATGTATAAAGATGTTTAAAAAATTCAGTTGCTTTTTGGGGTAATTTGAATTACTTTTTTAATGACTGGGGTTCCATTTGACTGTTTGCATTGAGATTGCAATGTGCGCAATTTTTTTTGTAGTTGTGGCATCTTGTTGACATCGAATATGACTTTGATAATAAATACCAGTTCCTGAAAAGATGCTTGCTTTTTGCCTGTGTGTTGTGGGGCACCCACCTCCGGTTTGGGGAGCTAGAGCCAGTTTTCTTTCTCCCCTTGGAGCTGTGACCACTGGAGGTCTCATCCCTATTCTTGCTTTGTCTGTGGACCCTGAGGGTGGAGGGCATGGACCCTGGCCACTTCAGGAGAACTCTTTATGGAAACAGTCCTGAGTGGACTTGAATTTTCCAGTGCTGGTGACAAAGCACTTGGATATTAGCGGTCCTCAGAGCCGTTCTCTCTCCCTCCTGTGCTGTTGCTCTTCGGGGCACAGACATTGTGTCAGGCTCATTTCCAGTTTGGCTTTTGTCATAGTCCACTTTGGCTGCTATAACAAAATACCATAAGCTGGGCAGCTTATAAACAACAGACATGTATTTCTCACGGTTCTGGAGGCTGGGACGTCCAAGATCAAAACACTGGCTGATTCCATGTCTGGTGAGGGAACCTGATCTTGGTTTATAGATGGTACTTCCTAGCTGTGATCTCACATGGTGGGAGTGGCAGGGGAACTTTCTTGGGCCTCTTTTATAAAGGCAGTAATCACCCCCCAGACAGCATCACATTGGGCGTTAGGCTTTCAACATAGGAATTGTGGTGTGTGCTTGTGGGGGGTGGGGGGCATATACTTTCAGTCCATAGCAGCTTTTCTTTGCTACAGTAACAGACTGAGGAGGGTGTGAGTTTCTGAGCATATTTAGAACTCTAGCGGTTTAGGCTGAACGTGATACCTGGGCTCTGTCAGAACTGGGTCACCCCTCCCTTTTCTCCCCCAAGATGTGATCTCATTCATACGTAGGTCCGCTTGGGCTACACAGCTATGTGCAGCTTGTGCGGAGCTGCCGCCACTGCTTGTCACGTTTGGTTGTGGGGTCCTAGCCTTGCCACCTTCTCCCTGCCACACTTTCCTCCTCCTGGTGTTTCTCCCTGAGGGGTGAGACCGTGGAGGGATGGGGTCGACCTCGCAGACCCCCAAGTGTTTGATCATGACTCCACTGTGTGCCAATCAGGAGGGAAAGAAAAGACAAGAAGCAGGAATCACTTTCAGTAGAAGCTTTATGTGGTTCATGTATGTAGGCAGGCATGAGCCTGGGTGGTTCTGTGACTGCCAATCTGGGATCCAAGACTCCTGGGTTAGTGGGTGGCTGGGCTGGCCGGTTGTCCTGGGTACCCACACCTGTGGGCCTTACCGTTTCCGGGGGGATGGTCGGCTCTCCAGAGGGTCTGCCGAGGAAGGGTGATTTGCAGTGACTCCTCTCCCCGTAAACGGATAATGAGCAGCCCTCAGGGAAACGGGGTGAGGGGTTTACCTCCTTCCAGCCTACCTCTGGTCCCTTCCAGCCTACCCAGAGCATCTACATGCCCCAGAAGCCAACATCGTCATACACCTCCGTTTCCCTGGCAGAGAGCACAGTTGGGTCAGTAAGAGTCACCTTGGCCCACTGACCACCCCGCCCTCCCCGTCACCCCCAGTCAGGGCCAGCACTCACAGGGGCAGTAGAGCTGTTCTGGGCACGTAGCCATCTGCAAAGAAAGTAGGATAGGTAAGCTCCCAGCCTTGGTGGTAGCCTGTTTCCCTAGGACTTCCTGGTCTGTCTGACTTACATTTGCCCTTGGTGTCCCGGCACAGCATCTCATCCTTGTTGGTGAACTCGATCACCTCCAGGATCTCCCCACGCCGGATCCCCAGGTGCTTGCCACCCCCACGACGTGTCTTGGCGTTGGGATCGATCATCATCCTTGTCTGAATCACTATCTCCCCCTCAAACTGGGGAGGGATATGTTAGAGCTTTTGTTTTGTGCTTTCACCCCAGGAACCCCGTCTTTCTGAGGATTGAATTTGTGGGGCCTTGGTCAGTTGGGGCTGTGCCCAAAACTCCAGGGCTCTTGTTTCGAGGATTCTGGTGTTCACACCTTGAACTTTTTCCGGAACTCCCTCTCGGCCTTCTCTGCCTTCCGGATCTGCTTCAGGGTCTTTGGGTCTGTGGGTGGCAACTGCTGTGGCTGGGGGGCCTTCTCCTTCCTGAGGAATTGGATGCTCCTGAGGAAGATGTGCTCCTCAGGGGCCCCCTCCGTGTCCTCCCAGAGCTCAGCCCCTCTGTGTTACATGCCCTTTGCCCTGTGGTACCTGAGTTCTGGATCTTGTGGTGGCCTGGGAGGTTGCTGGGTAGATGGCACGTCATCTGGGAGCAGTCAGAGCGCTGAGTTAGGGCAGGGACCGTTGGCTCAGCCTCCCTCTCGACACTAGTGGCTTGATCTTGAATGAGCTTTCCCTGGGTCAGTTCTCAGGACATCCACCCCCTCCCAAACCCCACCCTGCCCACCTGCCCATCTTCTCCCTAGGCCTTTCTCCTGGGTTGTGAGTTCTAGTGGATTGGCTCTTGTTTTCGTAACTCCTACTGCATGGCAGGCATGGCAGAAACTGTTTACTAGAGTAACTCATTTCAGCCCTCACAGCAACCTTACTACTTAGGGTAGTAGGCAATACTGTCATTCCCAGCTCATTGATGAGGGAAATAAAGGCTCTGAGTGGTAAAGCAATCCTGCTCCAAGGTCATCTGGCTGGAAATGATACAAGCAGGATTTATTTGCAGGATTTTGAGGCCATTTCATGTCTGTCTCCTAGAGTAGGTTGGCTTCTGGGAATTGTCATGGGTTCTGGGTCAAAAATAAGGCAAAAGCATTTCTTAGAGCAGATGAAATGGATGTCTGAGAAGGGGCTGGTGGGGTGGGGTTCCTGGACTGGCCTGGCTGGTGCTGAGACCAAATTGTGAGGGGTCTGCCTGGTGAGGGCTGACTTCCTGGCAAACTGCCAGCCTTCCAGGGAGGATTCTGCTGGCCAGGGTTTGGCTTACGGCGAGAGCCTCGTGAATACCAGTTGAGTGAAGGATCCAGAACATGAAGCCCCCAGCTTTTTGCACCAGACTCCAGCCTCGGCCTGGTGCTCAGATGTGACGGTGCCATCTACAGTCTCACCCAGGACATTCCCTCTGGCTGCTTCCCCTTCTCCCAGAGGCACCCTAGGGCCCCTGCAAACCCAGCACAGTGTAGAGCACGCCCCTGGGCGCCGTGGTGCAGGGCAGACTTGGCATACCTGCGGCCCGGATTTCTGGCATTGTGACCCTAATCAGGCCACGCAGGTAAGGCAGGCTCTGAGGGGGACCTGTTGAAATCCTGGGTAAGAGCCAGGTCTGGTGGCCTTAGCCCTTTCCAGGGGAGCCCCCAGCGGTGCAAAGAACCTCTGGAGTGGGGCCGAGTGGGCGGTTAGACTTGGGCAAACTTTGGGACAATCCGTACTACCAGTGAGGGCCCACATAGTGTTTCAAGAAGAGAGATTTGAGAAGTGCATTTGATTAGAGTCTTGCAGAATGACTGGCATGGAATGGGGAGACGACTGTCCATGGGCAGGGACAGTGAGCAGAGGTGGGGATGTTCCTGGTCTGTTTGGGATTGGGGAAGGGGTGGGCCAGTTACTGCCTTTCTCCATGTCCCTGGCCCCAAGAGTGGCCCCCAGACCCCGCCACAAGAGCCTCACCAGAGCGGAAGCAGGAGGAGCCCTGTCAGGAAGCTCTGCTAACAGAGGGTGTTGCAAGTAGCCCCTGAGGAAAGCCCAGGAGAAGCAGAAGGGGCTCAGGAAGGAGTAGTAGAGGCAGCAGATCTGGTGCAGGGGCGGGGGGTGGGTGGTTGGGGGGGAAGCGGGAGCATCCCAAAGGCACCCTTAATAAAAGGTTCCCCTGTAGGAAGCCCTTCCAGAGATGGGGCCAGGAAACAGTCTGGGAGCACAGGGCTTGGGCAAGTTGCTTCTCGGGTCCTCAGGCTTCCACCTGAAGCCTGTCGGGGACAAGGGGTCAGCTGTTGCCGTGGGGACGGGGGCGGTTGTGCATGTTCAGTGATGGTCACGTACAGGGCTTGCATAAAAGTCACTTTTTTTTTTTCCCCCACTCAAAATTGGTAAAGGCATTAACCCTGCAGCTGGGCTGGAGACATGTCTGCTTTGCCACTGCCCTGCTCTCCAGGAGCAGATGCTTGGAAGAAGAGAGGAAGAAAAGGGTCCTTAGGAACCCCAGAGCACAGAGTGTCTAGTAGGACTACAGGCTCGGGTCTTTGTCTCCACCCCATGCCTGAGTTCAGGCCCCAGTCCGACCTGGACATCCAGCAAGCACCTCCAACACAACAGGTCTGCTGTGGAAGCTGAAACCTTGTCCCCAACTCAGGGATACCTCCAGTCTGCACCCAGGCGTTAGGCTTGAAACTTGGGCCTCATCCATGTCATGAGCTGGCTTGCTCCCGCTCACCCCTGCATCACATGCCACCAAGTCCACTTCCTGATCCTTCCACTGCTCTTTCACACCTTCTCCCACCACCCTGCCCCCTCCCCCCGCCCAGGCCACACCATGCTCACTGGCTGTTGGTCTTTAGGGTGCCCTACCTCCTCCTGTTCTGCCCATCAGGAGCTGGTAGGACTTTTCTGAAAGGCCCTTCCTGCCCTCTACTTTCTCCTCTGGCACTGCCAGGGAGATGGATTGTCCCTTGGCTTCACACCAGCAGCATGGCAGAATATGCCCTTGCAATGAATGGTCCCGAGGGGCCTGGGCAGGATGGTCTGACTGAGAGCTCAGCCCCACCACCAACAAACCTCTGCCCTTGGGGCTGGGGCTGGGGCTGTCCGTGGGCTCCACGTCGTCATACAGCTCGTAGGCCTCGTCCTGGTCCCTGCGGGAATACCCGAGATAGGGGTCTCTTCCAAGCCTTCGACCTGCACCAGGGCCCGCTTACTCCCCACACTCACTGTGGGATGTCTTTAGTCTGTCGGGCCTGGGAGTGGATCCCAGCAGAAGAACGGGTCCTCCTCAGAGCTGTGGAGGGATGAGAGCAGGAGGGAGGCAGGCCCTGCCAGGGAGCCTCTTCCCCAGCTTTCTGCCTGGGTTGCCCTGACCCACCTGCGGCTGTGGCTCTCCGGAAGTTCTGGACATCCCTGGGGCCAGGAGGCAGCGGCGGCTTGGCTGGAGGGGGTCCCAGGCTGCTGACTGGGGGCAGAGGCCTCCGCCGGGGTGGGTAGCTGGGTTTGAGGCCCAGCCTCGACCCTCCACTGTGAATGGGAACTCCTGACCTCTGCTGCCTGGCTCCAAAGCCAGGGCTGAGTGGGAGCCTGGGGCGGGAGGCTGTGACAGCAGTGGGAAGTGAGCTCTCTGAAACAGAGCCAGGAAGGGGGGGCTTTTTAGGGAGATCACCAAAGAACTCAGCGTGCAGGTGCTTCTTGGGCAGAGCACTGGACTCGGGCTGCAGAAACTTCTTGGGGAGCAGGCCAAACTCGGGCTCCGAGGACACTCTGGTGAGGCTCCCCAGCTCAGGCTGCAGGGGCTTCTTGGAGGGTGCTTTGAATTCAGACTGCCGTGGCCGCTTGGGAAACACACTGACTTCAGGCTCTGAGGACCTCCTGGTGAGGTCACCAAAATCAGGGTGCAGGAGCTTCTTGGGGAGGTCATTCAGCTGAGGGGCTGGGATCTTTTTGGGAAATGCATTGAAATTGGGCTGTGAGGAGTGGGGGTGGGGCTCACTGGACTCAGGCTTCCAGGGGGGTGTCTGAGGGACCTCACTAAACTCAGGCTGTGGCAGAGATTTCTTAGGGAGGCCACCAACCTGAGGCTGCGGGGGTTTTCTGGGGTGCACACTAAACTCGGGCTGTGGGGGCTTCTTGGGAAGTGTACTGAAGTCGGGCTGGGAGGAGTGGGGGTGGGGCTCGCTGGACTCAGGCTTCAAGGGGGGTGTCTGAGGGACCTCACTAAACTCAGGCTGTGGCAGAGATTTCTTAGGGAGGCCACCAACCTGAGGCTGTGGGGGCTTTCTGGGATGCACACTGAACTCGGGCTGCGGGGGCTTCTTGGGAAAGGTACCGAAGTCAGGCTGGGAGGGGTTTGGGGTGGCCTCATTGGGCTCAGGCTGCTGGCGCTTCTTGGGGAAGGCGCTGGATTGGGGCTCTGGCGGGGGCTTGGCAGGGTGGCCGGCCACAGGCTCAGGCTGCAAAGCTTTCTGAGGGGCCTCGAGCTGTGGGAACTTCTTGGAGGGTTCACTTGGCTCAGGTTTGGGGGGCTTCCTGGGCAGATCAGTGCAGTTGGGCTGCAGGGGCTTCCTGAGGTGCTCGCTTAGCTCAGGTGGTGGAAACTTCTTTAGAAGTTTGTTGAACTCAGGCTTCGGGGGTTTTTTGGGGTGTTCGCTGGTCTCAAGCTGAGAGGCCTGGAACTTTGCTTGAAGGCTCCGGAAGTCCTGATGGCTCCCCTAAGGGACATGGAGCCAGTCAGGCAGAGACTCACACAAGGGTTCTTCTAGCTCCTCTTTGCCACCCTTTGTCATTGGCTCCCTCTCCTGTTGGCTGGGCCTTCCACCCTTGTCTCCAGGCTCCCTGGAGTCCTGACCTCTCCACTTAGGCACTGCATATGCCCCCAACCTCACCCCCATCAGGACCCAGGCTCCCAATGCTCCCCCATAGCCTCTGCTTCCACAGTTGGTGGTGCCTTCTAAGTGTCCTTGAGATACCCTGTGCTTTCATGCTCCACATCCCTAGTGCCTTCTGTTCTGATTTCAAAATACATCCAGAATCCAGCCACTTCTCACTGCCTGTACCACTGTCATGCTGGCTGGAGGAACCCAGGCTCCTCCCCGGTCTCCTGCCCCCCCCGTCTTCTGCCTCTCCCTCTGCCCCTTGCACCCCCATTCTGGCCAGGACCCTCCCCCACAGCAGCTGGAGGAAGCCCCTCTGCTCAAAATGTGGCAATGCTTCATTTCCCCATGGTAAAAGCTAAAGATCTCATGAAAGCCTTAAACCATCAATCTGCCTCCCTTACCCAGTTACCTGGGCCTGGCCTCCGCCTCTCCCCTGCTCTCTCCCCGCCCCCAACCCCTCTTTCTTGGGCCTTTGTCCGGCCCTTGCCTCTTCCACCTCCAGGTCTCTGCTGATACTTTCTTATTAGAGAGGCCTTCCTCCCAGACCACCCTCATTTAAAAAAATGGATTTCCCCTTTGCAGAACTCTCCATTCTCCCCAACCTACTTTTTTTCTCTCAGTACCTGCCACTATGTATCATACAGTTTATTTTATACGGTTTCACAAATGTGCCTTGGCTTGTTTGTTCTCTCTGCCCCCCTAGCCCCTGTGGAAGGTCAGCGACTTGGCTCACTCATTGCTGTCCTCCCAGTACATGGCACACTGTTGGTGCTCAGTAGGTACTTGCTGAAATATACGGGATACAAAGGCGTATACTCAGCCACGTCCAGTTTGATTGTCACAGACTCATGTAGAAAGACGTGGAGAGACACAGACCTGGAGGCAGATGTGGGCTCAGAGTCTCATGGTCCCAGACACCCTTGTTGACGGTCAGGGCACTCACAGTCGAGAACACCCAGGAGAAGCGGCAAGCCGGCCCAAGCAGCGGCCCGGTCAGGCCTGTGCACCGGCTGTGGCGCACCTAGTCCGTCCCAGGTACCGTCTCGACCGGCCCCATGCTCTCCGTAACAGACACGGGCGGGTGCACGAGTAGGCCAGGCCTGCTCTGACCAGGGGGCCCCACTGCAGGCCCCCAAGCCTGGCTTCACCTGGACCCTAGGAGACTGGGAAGGGGGAAAGGGCAGAACCGTGGAGACTGTGCTCCTGTCTGTGCCCCACCCAGAGAACGAGGAAAGGTAGTGATCCCCGCCTGGGGCCTGAAATGCCTCTATTAAAGCCCCGCTCCAGGTGGGTTGGGGGAAGGATTCCGGGGTCACCCACAGGCCCAGAGAAATCAGGGTCAGCAGGTCATGTCTTGGGTGACTACTGGGGTGGGGGGTGGGTGGCGGGTACATGACCCACTTTGTCACCCGCAGGAAGCCCCTCTCTTCACCCTGGCCTCCTGTCCCCAGGTTGCTGTTCATGCTGACCTGGGAGGAGAGTAGTCTGGGCCATCTGCCTGTTCCCCCTATTAAAGTCCCAGCCCCAGCCTGGGCCACAGGCCCTTTGGGGCCCCAGCTGTCCCAGTGATGCATCCTGGCTGCTTCCCACCTCTGGGCCTTTGTGATGGTCCTTGCCATTTCCCGGGGGATGAGGGGGCTCTCCTAGGGTTGGGGGTTCACTCACCATGCTTGCAGGCGGGTGATGGGCCACAGGGCAAGTGGGACCTGAGCTGGGCCGGTGCCTTCAGGAAGTGACTGTGGCTTCTGCTCCCCGGGCCCCACGGGGGTGGGGGATGCTGGCGGGGTGGGGAGGACACAGGAGGAAGAAAAGGAGGCGGAGACAGCCCCTGCCTGTCCCCAGATCCTGCCTGGCACTTGAGTTCCTGTCCTGCCTGCTACTGTCTCCATGGTCTCCATGCTTCGTGCATCGGCTGTGAGCACATGCCCAATGTGGCCACCAGTTGTTTGTGTTTCTGGGGGCTGGCTGACTTCTGGTCTCCAGGGAGGACTCCGTGCCAGGCCCTGAGGGCCTCCCTGGGAGGGGGAGTTCTCTGGGGGTAAGGGGCATGGTCAGCTCTGGGCCAGGAGACTCAGGGGTTCGGAGAGCATGATGGGTGAGGCCCTTCTGCCGGCTCGTTTCCTCATCTGCCTGCCTCATTTCCACACTTCCCCACTGTCAGAGTCTCAGCTCTGAGCAGGACTTCCCTATTATAGGGGCAGATGTCACATGGGTCGTGGACAGCTGTGGGGGGCAGAGGGCCCAGCTGGGATGGCAGATTTGGGGGTGGGTGGGTTGGGTGGGTAGTAGCTAAGGCCTTGCCCTCCCCCACCCTGGCGAGGGAGGGAGTCTGAGGGCCAGGGGAGAAAATGGAGACAGCAGGGAGAGCAGTGAAGAGGGGGCGAAGGGGGTGGGCCGAACTAGCGCTGTGGGGGTGTGAGGCCCAGCCAGATAGAGGCGAGCCCTAACCACAGGACTTGGTCTGCAGGAGGTCAGTGACTTTGGACACAAAGGGAGAGCGCAGAGCCCTGACAAGTTTTAGCTATACATGGAAATAGCTTTAGGAGTTTACGAAAGGATGGAAGGAAGCTCCTGGAGATTCTGACTTAATTGGCCCTAGCCTGGGGATTTCTTTTTTTTTTTTTTTAAGTGACCTCTACACCCAACTCGGGGCTTGAACTCACAACCCCGAGATCAAGACTCCTACTCCTCTGAGCCAGCCAGGTGCCCTGAGCCTGGGGATTTCTTAAAACACTCTGAGGGTGATTCTCATGTGCCCACGAGTCACCCTGAGACCCCATTAAAGTGCAGGTTCTGCCTCAGGTCTGTGGTGGAGCCTCAGATTTCTAAAGATCCCAGGTGATGCCCTGGAGTAGCGAGGGTGTAGAAGGATCCAGTCTGTCTTGAGGACACTGCATTCCCAGCTGGAGCTGTTCATTACCACCCTGCCATGAAGGCCACAGACCGCACAGTCGGAAAGGACTCTGCCTGTTTGTGTCCACTTTTAAGAGGCACAGCTTGAGGATTCTGGAGCCTCTGTGCCTGCCCATCCCCATCCCTGCACTAGCAGGCATGCACCCTGGGTCACATTCCCAGATGTGGGTTCCCCTTGGAACAGGAGTCCTGGGAGACCAGGGACGATGAGAGTGGGTCCTCCCTGGGTCTTTGGGACCAGCCAGCACAGGCTGGTCACAGGCTGACTGACCCAGTGTTTGGTGAATGAGGGAAATGAATGAATGAAACAAGTGATTATTGGCCAAGAGCATACAGTAGGTGCCCAATCAAAGTAAGCTAAAGGACTGAACGCTGGTGACAAGCTGGTGACTTCCCAGGCTCCAAGGCCAGCCACCCCGTGTGAACCACCTCCCCATGGCCTGGAACTCGCAGTTTGGAGGGTCCCATCCTGGCAAGCCCTATTCCCCCACGGTCCCCAGGAGGTGTTCCCTCCCACCCCCCCCACTCCCCTTTGTGTTTGGAGCCTTCCGGGTGGCTCTGGGCTGGACTGCAAAGTGTGGCCATGAACTTGGGCAGGAGGTTCCAGAGATGGAGTTGAGGAACCTGAAGCCCGAAGTGAGCCCGGGCCAGGGTCTGCCTTGGGGTTTCAGTGGTGGTGGGGGTGGGGAGTGTGGGGAGGTGTTCGCTTCGGGAGCCTGTGGAACAATGGGCTAAGGAGGGGTCCCGGGGTTCTGAGCACATGGGGGGCTGGTGAGCCAGAGCAGGCGCAAGAGCAGGGGCATGCACCTGGTTGCCCTGGTCATGGTTGGGGGACAGACACGGTGGTGGTCTCCACGCTCAGCCACATGTGGTCCAAGTGCACGCAGTCGAGGACTGAGCACGTGGGCGGCCAATCCTGGGGGTCAAGGGGCGCACGGAGGAGCTGGGGGCCTGGGATGGGGGTGCTCACGTCCAGGTCAAAGGCAGGGCTCTGGGACGTGCACCCAGTAGCCTTATTTCCCCTCTCCCAGTCTGGTGGTGATGGGGCTGGTGCTGGACAACTGCCGGACGGGTACATGGCCGGACTCAGCTGACGTAAGCTGCCTGGAGAGGCTCGGCCTCTTCAGCGCAAACCTGCAGTCTCTTATCAACCAGCCCCCCATTGGGCCAGCTGGGCAAAGTGGATGACTGCCCTGATACGCTGGCCGGTCCTTCCATTTCCCTTCAAGACTTGACACTCCTGGGCGCCCTCTGCTGGGCAGAGCTGAGGCCGAAAGGAGACTTGGCGGTCAGGCTTTTTGCAGTCAGGGGAAGGGGGGCCCTCTGAGGGATCACTTTGGCCAGAGGGAGGGCAGGGGCTGCGGAAGCCCGGGAGAGACACTGGGAGCAGATTTCCCAGTTAAGCTGAAAAAGTTGGACATGAGTTGGGAGGGGGCAAGGGTAGGAAGTTGCTTTTGGAGTAAGCAGGGTGCCTAGGCCAGGTCATGATCCAGCTCCTTAGGCCTCTGGGCAGTTTCAGGTTGCTGGGCTGGGGGAGGGCAGGGGACACTGTCTCCTTGGTATAAGCTGTTGCATGGGTGATGGGGTGGGGTGGGGTACCTGGGCCAAGATCCTGGCTCTGGGACTCTCTGGAAAGGTCCTGAGAGACTGGGAAGTGGCATTGCCTGGATTTGGGGGTGGCTGAATGAGGGGGCCTGATGGGGGAAGGGCCTCTGACACCTTGGAGACAGGTTGGGGTCCTGGGGGAGAGGGAACCCTGAACCCTGTCCCTGGAGATGTGGGAAAAGGGGAGGTGCCATTTGGGCCTCACTGCCTGGGTTTTCTTATAGATGGGAACCTTTCCCAGCTTCTAGGGTGATACAGAATCAGTGAGGGGACTGGAGCTGGGCTTGGCTCAGTCATCCTACCCTCCTAGCCTCACCTTCTCTAGCTGTAAAATGGGCCCCTTGATCCCACCCCACTTCCTTCCTGGGTTCCTTGTTGGGGGGTGTTCCAGGCAGCCATGGGCTTGGTAGCCAGAGGGATGTGAATCACTCACAAACATTTCTCAGGCCCCCACCCTCTCTCCCCAGTCCCTGTTTGAATCTTCACAAGGACTCCAGAGGGTAAGCATCCTGACACCCATCTTAAGGACTAGCAAAGTGAGATGCAGGGAGGTTGAGTCTTCTCCAGGGTCACAAAGTCCTAGCTCCAAGGCTCCTGGCTGGGAAGAGGAAAGCTCAGGGGGCCTGAAGCCCCAAGGTCCCCTGATGGCCCCGTTGGCCCGACAGTGGGTGCTGAGCAATACCTGCCTCAGCATGGGCCCGGAGGTGCTGGCAGAACAGACATCTGGCCTGAGCCAGCTGAGTCTCAGCTTCAACTCGGCAATGACTGCAGTCCTGAAGCCCCGCGGGTGGGCCCCTGGGTGCAGGTGGGCCGGTCCTAAGGGCACTCAGATCAGCGCTCCCCTTTCAGGAAAAGCAGAAGGGCCTCTGGAGCTTGGAGCTGTTCAACTGCAAGGAGGCTGGGGAGTTCTTGCTCATAGACGGTCTGTGTTCCCCAGGAAGAGGATGATGATGAGAGGGATGAGGGAGGGGGTGGGGACGTTCAAGATGGAGCCTTGTAGGTTATTAGAACAAGGTCTCCACTACCAGGCAGTAATGGGAACAGACCCATTTTCTGTGGTGTTCAAACTGGGGGGAAGGGCAGGAAGGGTTGCTTCAGGTACCTGAGGAGGGGGAAGAGGGTCAGGGGCCTAGGCTAGGGGACCCTGGGGCTGGAAGGGAGCAAGATGCAGGAGGTAAAACTAGCTTCCGAGGGGTGGCTGCCAACAGCACGCGTAGACTTCCACGTTCAGGAGGCTTGGCCCACTGGGTTTGGTGACAACAGGGCTGAGACAGCAGTGTGGCCCCAAATTTTGAACCCTGACCCAGGACCGATTTCCCATGACAGAAGGGAAAAGGAGATCCTCATGGCTGGAGGACAGAGAGGGGAGGGGTGAGGAGGGAGGGAGCCCAGGCTCCCTAGGGCTGGCTTTGACCCACCCTCCTCCTCAGAGCCAACATTGGAACAGAAGTGAAAGGCAGCCAAAGATGAAGGTCTGGAAGACAGTGACGAAGACAAAACCAGAGCCCCTGGGGGCCCTGGCACCAGCACCTCAACCCTGTCACCTGCGAGTCTGCCCTGGCTTCAGGATTACGGAGGGGGGGGCGCCTCCAGCAGGGTCAGCCCCAGCACTTTCTCAGGACCCCCGTCTTACTGACTCCTGGGACTCCTTAAATAAAAGCGATGTTTCCATCCCATCTGGTTTCTGGAAATGGGACAAGAGGCACTGGCAGCCCCAACTACAGCTGGATAGGGTAGCACTGGGCTGGAGACCTGGGTCCCAGTTGTTAAAGTGACAGGGGAGTAGTGAGGTTGAGGGGAGGCTTGTCCCCTCTCAGGGTGTGAGCACCCCAGGACTGCTAGACCGGCCGGCTGTGCATCGGAGGGGCAAGGGACCCAGACACAGCACGGGCTGGCTCATCGCGCCTCCTTTATTGCCTCCCCACCCCCTCCATCTTAAGTCCCATTAAAATTACAAAACTACCCGCATCCTACAGTCCAGTCCCCCCCCTTCTCCCCCCGCCCCCCCCGCGGCGGGATTCAGAACGGCGAGAAAACCGGACACTCCCCCTCTGACAGCAGCGGAGACACCTTGGGTGCAAGCGGGACCGGGTCTGGGTGGGGCAGAGGAAGGGACGCCTG